TACAGACATTTCCATAAGAAAATACTTCGGCCTTAATTTTTCAGAATACCGATTATAATAAACATTACTTTTTCTTAAAAAAGAGATTGGAAAAAAACTAAATAAGATAATAAGTATCTGTTTCTATTTCTGTGATGAGGTATTGTAATCTATTTACATTGTTCGAACTGTTATTCTCACTTTTATTGCCATATTCACTACGTTTCGGCGGTTATACGCCCCGGCCTTCTTCAGAATCTGTCTATATTTTTGAGATGAGGTATTATAACTGTTCGGATTGTTGTCCTTATCTTTATTGCTATATTTATGATGTTTCGGCCATTGTACTCTCTGGTCTTCTTCAGGTGATATACGTTGAAATTTCGAACCGAACCCTTTATTTTGGTTTTCATCTTAATAATGTTAACATAGAAATAAAACTTTGTTTTTATCAAGTTTAGAGCATTTTTCATCATGGTATGCTCTTTTTTCAGCGAATTAGTGGAAGTATTCAATTTAATGTATTTGAACTTAAAATGAATGGAATTTTATTGATGCTGGTTTATTTGTTTTTTATGGTGAGAATTTTTTATATAGTTAAATGGTTAAAGTTTCAGATTTCACTTTTTATTGTTTATATCGTATACTACTTTCGCATTATTGATAAGTATTTGTCAGATTTGTTGCGTTTTAGTGTTGTGTTGGCTGGTGATATGCGATTTAATTGGCCTTTTATCAAACAAATGACAAATTAACCAACATTAATACAGTGATTCTGTAAACAATGTATGTGGCGTTTGAATTTCATTATTCAAGGAGCGACATTCTCCAAATGGGCAAGCTAATTTGTAAACAACGTTGGTTTGTTAAAGTTATATATATATATATATATATATATATATATATATATATATATATATATATAAATGGTAGTACTCGTTTGGAAAAAACTTGGATAGCTCAACTTGCAGTAGAACAAATCGGTACTCGAGGAAAAATAGAAAATAAAAAAGAAAGAACCAAGAACATTAAAACAAGGCGAAAACAATCGTCAAGTCGAAAGAAAAAACAAAAACAAAACGAATAAAAAGACAACGACGTAAAGTGCTCAATACACTAAGTAGAGCGGTAAACTAAAATAATCCTAAGGAGCCAGGCAAGCCTACCTAGGTGTCACCTAAACGGATCTTCAGTGTAAAGCCGGCTTTACCGTGAAGATCAGTTTACATATATATATATATATATATATATTCAATCCTCACTAGATGCCCCATACTTTCGGCCTTGTGCCAAATCTAAGCTACGCTTACAAAATCAATATATATATATGTGTGTGCGTGAGTGTTTCGTTGAATATGGCAGACAAGGGAAATTTGGTTATTTTTTTTTTTTTAGTTTTTCCAACATTCTTACATTTTTCCATTTGGTGGAAGTAAGGGAGTAGAAAAAGCATTAAAACTCATCAACCAGGTGTTTCTCTCCGACCTCTCATATTCTATATATCTACACCTGTGTATCAGGTATTAAAAACCCTAAATGCCATAATTTCTTCATACACACCCAATGATTACAGCATCGTGTCCACAAACGAATTCCTTCCTATCTTAAAAGCAACAAATCCCACAGGTAGGACCTTAGCTTCGCTCGATGTTGAAAGTCTTTTTACCTACGTACCAGTTGAAGAAACGATCAATATAATTTGTAACTGCATCTACAAACATACATCAATCCCTACTCCCAAAATGTGACCAGCAATTTCTTCGGAAACTGCCCGTCGCTTGTACTTCAAAAGCCCCATTCTACCATCATAATAGTAACACATATATCAAAAACTAATGGCATCAGCTTGGCAAATCCATTAGGTCCCGATTTTTTAACTTTTATATGTCTCATACTGAAAACAAAATGTTTAAAACAACTGATAAACCACAAATCTACACAAAGTTCGTTGATGATATTTTTGTTTTAATAAAAAAAATAAAGACGAAATTTTAAACCAAAATTAACTTTCGAAAAAAACTCCACACTAAAATTTACATACGAACACCTGGTAAAATCACATTACTTGACATTGATATGGAACTAAAATCCAATGAATTGACCACCCACCTGTGTAAAAAAAACACCAGTATGGACTCTTGCCTTCTAAACTATGATAGCCAATGCCCTGAAAAAATATAAAATGTCAGTGATAAAAAAAAACTTCCTAAATAGAGCACTCCTAAATTCTCAAAGAATATTTCTGAGTGAACTAAAACTCATAAAACAAACAATAATTTTGACAACTACATCATCGATAAACAAATAAAATTATTCTTACAAAATATCCATGACACTAATAATAAAAATACAATAGAACCAGACATCAATATATTTTACTGCAATAAGATGCACAATAATTACAGGCAGGACGAATTTGCAATAGGACAAATCATTAAACATCATATTTCTGTCGTAAATCCCTAAAAACATGTCAAACTTATATTACAGAAAATAGAAAACCGAAGATTTCGTTGTCAAAATAACCCTATCAAATCTAAACTAGCGATGATCAATATAGTGTATCAATTTCACTGCCAAGTTTCTTGTCGTAAATCAATTACCTATGTTGGTCATGCCACCACCTCCTCGAGTAGACAACTCACGTGTCACTTATCTGACCAAAGTGCCATAAAAAGGCAATTAGCCACCTACAATTTACAAAAATCCTTAAGAAAAATTCTGGTCGATATCACTAGCATCCTATATAGGTCTCGTTACCGAAAACGTCTTGTTGGGAGAGAAGTCCCTTTCCATAAAATATCTGGCACCCAGTATAAATATCTCATCTTATTCAGCAGCGAAAATGATGTATTTAATTTTTTTTTTTTAATAGAAAAACACCAACACGAATTCCAGCCACGCTCTACTCGCAAATCTTATACTACTACTACTACTACTACTACTACTACTACTACTACTACTACTACTACTATACAAATAGCACAAAAAGAAATTAAAAAAACACCTAAAAACAACCCCACTTTGAAAATGGTTAAAAAAAGAACGCGCTTGGGACAATGGACAATTTTTACACTCCCTTACGCCCACCAAACGGAAAAATGTAAAAATATTGGAAAAATTAAATAAAGATTTTTCTTGTCTGTCATTTTCAACGAGACATGTTTAAAAGAAAGGTTGTTGCCTAAATATACATCATATATAGTCATTCACAGACAGATTGTTTCGCAGCTCATCAGCGTAGCAAGTCATCCGATTGCTTCAAGCCGGCATCGAAACTCTTACCTCTAGGCTATCGGCGCACGGCAGAGAAATGGAATTTTTAACGCATTATATACGTAATATATAAACGCCATACCGGTGCCATAGCGCTCAATTCTTACGAAGAGTGATGCATTAAAGCAGCAACAGCAGCTGTTAAAAATTTCCTTTTCTCCATAGTGCTCAATCGGCGAACGAGAGCATGTATAATAATTTTTAGTAATATTGTTAGAGGTTCTTAGTTTTATGGTGTGTTTTATTTTTTTTAAATGTTTTTTGTTCTTGACTTATTATATATAATACATATAAGTGGTTGTTGCATAATTCGTTTCTATAGAATAGTCTAATGATTTTTTATATTATTATTATTTGTACTATCACTATTTTTTATTTTTACTAAAGTAATGTTTACGGTGATGCGACTAAACATGCACATGAAGGAGGGGGGGAAGTAAAATTTTAAATTTATATTTAATTTTTGTTAGTCTAGGCAATTTCATTTTTTTTAATGTTTATGTTTTTATCACTTTTGTTATTAATTCTCCCCCACCCCCATTGAGATAATAGAAGATCTGCCAAGAAAGGTTAAATGTTGTAAGAACCTGGACTTCATTTTATTTCAGATGATCTAGCGATTAAAGCACTTTCTATACATTTTTGTCTTAGCAATTTGCTTAAACCAATCTGTATGGTGGTTTATTGATAACTAGAGGACATCATTCCATGTTTCAATTAGCGATGTCACGAGTCCAAGTGAGCCGCTGTGTCTGGTCTCCTGGTGTTAACAGGAGAACACTAGTTAAAGGTTAAAGAACGCTGAAATGATTTGATAGATATGCATCTGTCACCTCCTATATTGAATGGGAATTTGATTTGAGCCTGTTTCGCTACTATAAAGAATTCGAGCCAGACGCCTCTGTTCAGGATCTGTAGTCGACCATTGCGCTGTCAACGCTGGTCAATGTCTTCCTGTACACACGCGGCACCGTAGATCAAGCGATGTCAAATATCCTCACAATTTCAGAAATGGAATGTTCTATCCATTTGGCACACACTTCTAATTCTGATAATTCACGTCATCTTTCCAAGAGCTGCTTCACAATTACGCATCAGATGTCAAAGTACAACTGATATAAGGTCAAGGTATTTCCATGATGTCAAGATACAGTGGAATCACCTCCAATCAACTTTACGTACTGTTATTTCACGTGTGGGCATGCGCGAGCGCGCGCGCGTGCGTATGTGATTAAAATTAGATGGAAAATTTTTACTATAGCATGTTTCGCCGATGAACCAGTATCATCAGAAAACGATTTTTATTTCACAAGAACAAATTTGATAATAATTTGAACCGAGAAAACTTCATTTTAATAAAAAAAAATTATTCAGAAAAGATACTTTAAAAGTATCATGATTTATAAAACCTTTGCCAATGATATACAACCGGGCTATTCCAAGTACTGAAAAAATATGGAGTACGTAAATCACGAAAATATAAAAATTTACCATTATATATATATATATATATATATATATATATAGTTATTGCGGAAATTATGTAAATATAGTTCATTTTTCTAACAACTCTAAAAATAATTGTTAACACAATTATCCTTGCGTAAAACACAATCCTCTTTATTTACATTATATTTTATTGATGTCAAAAATATCCCAGTGTCATTAAAAATTGTGATGGAGATCATTAAAGTTTACTCAGCTCTTTATTGTTCGTTCGTGGATTTTCTTCTTTCTATTTGCAGTTATTTAGCTACAACTCAATTCCAACCGACGCATGCGCGACAAGCATTTCCTTGTTTTGATGAACCAGCTATGAAAGCTCAATTCCGTGTCATTCTCGTGAGAAAAGAACACATGAAATCTCTATCGAATATGCCCAAAATCAGGGAAGATAAAAGGTTTGTTTCTTCATACAATAAATGAATTCAGCATTTTAGTCGTAGTAAAATAATAACAATTAACTTATTACAGTTCATTAAAAAGAAATACTGAAAAATACAAAAAAAAAAAAAAAAACGATGGCGTATTCCCATTTTAAGAACTGAATAAAGACCAACATAATAAAAGTTTTTTATTGGGTGAATTTCTGATTACAATTTATCTCACTCAACTGAGAGTGGTCGTTATATATCTCAAACATAAGTCTTCTGAGCGGTGTATAGTTTTATTGTTGTCAAAGTAGAAGCAGACTTTGAAATGTGATGCGAAAGTTTCATTTGAGTTTTTTTTTTGCTTTTGTTGTTGACATTAAGTAAAATATTCTTAACTGTTCTTGTCATTGGCGAAAAAAAAAATTCGTCCATAACGTTTTTTTTTTTTTTTTTTTTCAACATACTATCTATTCATTTTATATGAAACTGATTTCCATTTTAGGGAAAATGGATTTATCGCTGACATATACAATACTTCGGCAAAGATGTCAACTTACCTATTGGCGTTCGTTGTATGTGATTTTGGCTACGTAGAGAACAAAACAAAGACTGGTGTAAAGGTAACGAGTAATATTCATGTCCTCATTGTGTGTTGTGCATGTGTTGTGCATGCACAAACGAACATATTTTCCTCGTCGTACAATGCAAATCACTTCAAAATTCGTCTCCTGTTTAAAATAAAATGCCTACTCTATTTTGTTTATTTAACAACAATAGGCGACTTTAAATCACATATAATTTACTGAATCGATTGTTTAGATCTGCTGATGATAGTTAACTCTACACATATTCAGTTTATTACTTAGAATACTGGACAGGGATAAATCTCATTAATAATTATATAGCAATCACTATGAACTAGTCTTTAATATGAAAAATTTATTCGGTTTAATTAACGATTTATGAGTTTCAAAATAATTACATTCCAAAGTTCTTGCCAATGAATTTTAAACCTCGTTATGCTACATATTGGTGACCTATCAAAGATCATTTACATATTGGTGACCTAACAAAGAATATTTACATATTGGTGACCTATCAAAGATCATTTACATATTGGTGACCTATCAAAGAACATTTACATATTGGTGACCTAACAAAGAACATTTACATATTGGTGACCTAACAAAGAACATTTACATATTGGTGATTAACATTTAGTAAAAAGTTTTCTTTAAAGTTGTTTCTGTCACTTTATCTTCGTCCATTCTCTTATGCGACACAAGTTGTGACATTGTCAAAATGATTGATGATCAAAGCTTAGGATTATACCTTTCCGACATTTTTTCGAAACCCTGCTTCCTGCATATGTCCTATCCATTATTCTTATTTTTGTTTTGTTATCAGGTCAAAACTAAACGTGACTTTTAAACAAAATCTTTTCTAGTTTTTCTTTATAGTTGTGCCTTTTGCTTGAGATCGAATTTGTCTTAAATACAGTCTATTATTTTACGATTTTGTCATGATTTAAAATGTCTACGTCTGAGATAATCTAGTCATTAAGAATTTATGTTGCTAAGACTAAATTCTAATATTGAGAATAATCCATCAGCAGTGACTTTCATAACGAATGTAGCAAATTCATTTGTCACGTTTCTATTTCTTTCATGCTTAGGTTCGTGTGTGGACACGACCGGATGCTTTGGGCCAAGCACACTTCGCATTGGACGTTGGCACCAAAATCCTTGAGTACTTTGAAGAATATTTTGACATCCCTTACCCTCTACCAAAGCAAGGTAAAAGAAAATCCTTTGTAGAATAGATCAAAGTTTATTCAAATTTTGCTACTACTGACAATATGTAAGAAATTGAAGGACCATATCTCTTTCTCTCACGCACACAAGCTTCTTTTCTCTGTCTCTCTCTTTATCTTTGTTTCTCTCTCTCTACATACACACACACACAAACTGATATATATATATATATGTATGTGTGTGTGTGTGTGTATGTGTGTAGCTGGCCACTCGTATTCTAGGATACCCGTCTACTGGGGCGGCTAACGCAATATATACTGCAACTATGCTGAACAGAACTTAGTTTAAGTTTCTGGGAAAGAGCGTGATCAACAATCTGAACACGCTCAACCCCTCAGTCACGATGACTTGTGACTTCGAGGTAGCACAGCTATCGTGAGCACCTTAAGGTTCCGTCAACCCAATTTCACTGGTATGGCTTTCAGACACTTTCCAAAGATGCCGCACGCTGGGATCGACCCCTCTAGTCAGATAACATCAGAAATCTCCTTCCTGACAAATCGACCGTAGTCTTATGGTCAGAAAGCGAGCGTTCTAACCACTCGGCCACTATATATATATATGAACAAATGTTTGGTTGTAAAAAACTTTAATAATAGCAAGGAATGAGCGTAATTTATCGGGCATTTTTAATGTAAATTTTAATAGCTAAAAAATAACCGATTTCGTCCCAGTCTTATCAAGTTTATTCCTGGGAATTAAAATAAGAAACGTGTAAATTAATTTGAAGATGACTAATGGGGAGAAAAAAATTTCATTGAAAACTAGAGCCCAATAATATTCAGACCCAGCAAACAATCCCTCTGTTTACAGAGGGAAGGCTTGCGGGATCTGATATATAGGGACTCAGAACCTTGAACTATTATATATATATATATATATATATATATATATATATATATATATATATATATATATATATATATATGTGTGTGTGTGTGTGGGTAGAATTCTGGTTTCATTAATTATTTTTGATTTTGATTTTTCTTCTGCGAGACGCCGAGACAATTTACCTACTGTTCATTTTTTTTTTCAATTCGATTTGTTTTTGTTTACAAAAATCGAACTGTTATTTAAAAACTAAACATGGTACAATAGTAATAAGGAAGGTATTTCGAGCATAAACAATTTAAATTTTATTTTCTTGATTAATTGTTATCATGAAAATGTTCACGTGAAATAAAAGACAGTAAACGAAATGTTTTGAATATAATTTTCATTATACCAATTAAATTCTCACGATTTATTTCTTTTTAATATTTATTCTTTTAACTGAGAAGATTCTAATTTTTTGACATGTTAAGAAAACTCAAACGGTGAACGACTGTTTTATATGCATATCACGTCTATAATCAACTTTTACATTTTATGTCTTAGACCAATAGGATTTACAAAATTAAAAACAAGTTGCATTTATTATATCTCTGTAAAACCAAATAGTTTAATATTTCTCCATAAATGATTCTGAATGTGTGATATGTTTTCTGCTTATTCACTGACTGAACAATCAGATTATCACGATTTTTTTTTATATTAGGGAATATTAATATTTTCTGTTTTTGATTTGGTAGATATGATCGCTGTCCCTGACTTCGATGCCGGTGCAATGGAAAACTGGGGCCTGATAACCTACAGAGAAGCTCTTTTACTGTGCGATCCAGAAGCAACATCAGAAGCACAAAAGGGTAGCGTTAGTTCGATTATCTCACACGAGATGGCGCACCAGGTCAGTTATCTTTTGTTATATACAAAAGGTTAATGTTAGTTTTCTCTTTCACTCTGTTTTGTATGTCCATTCTCCGTGTTGGATGGAGGATATTCTTACTCTTATATCCTCGCTTTTTCTTCACAAATTAATAGGGTTAATCAAGAAGTCGGTAACATAACCTAATTAGCTGTTCTAATCTGAAAGTTTCAATGTATAATCTTCGATCTATTTACGAAAAACAATTGGATTGTGCTGAAAAATAAATGTTTTTTTATCATCATTAGGCTACTAGATTTATTAAAGAACCTATTTAAATGTAATTCTGAAGCGATAGTGATTTTTTTTATTGAATTTACTGAAAAACAAAGGGTAAGTCATATGCAGACATATTTACCTCAATGTGAAGTCATCGATGTAGATAAATATAATTATCTAATTGTTATTTTCAATGAGACAATTTAATATAGACAACAGTATTTTAAATAATCTTTTGTGAATACGATTTTCTCGAAGAGTGTTAAGTTGAAAACAAGATATTTGAATTTAATCTTTCAATGTCAAGAGCAATTTTTATCAAAATAGAAAATTGATTCAAAATTTAAAAAATGTACCCATTTCTAACATTCCAGATAAGTAACTAACTTGCAAGCAATGACAGTTCACTTATTAAATAATGTATGACCGCCATATGAAATTATGTAGTTCAAAGAAAAGCTACAGAAATTCATAAAAGATACTTGACAATTCAAATAATAAATTCGGCAGTCGTAAAGGAAGTGTATTCATTATTAACTTTTGATCAGTTATTCTTTCATCTTATTACATTATTTTTTCATCGCTTTAGGCTTTTTATCACCGATTTATGTTGCTTGCTTTAATTATTGTAGATAAGAAACTTTGGGCGACATTCAGGAAATCTCGCTTCCATGATAGGAGATCCGAATTCAAATCTCATTGGAAAATATTTGCTTATTCACGCTGTTAACTTTAACGGTCGTAGACTGTAACGATTTTAATTGTTGTGAACTCAACAACAACATGGAAGAGAACCTAACAAGAAATGAATATTAAAAATATTTAATCTAAGAATTCAGGTGAATTATTATTACTACTACTACTATTTGATAGTAAATAAACAATATGGCGTAATGAGAAAATGAGTAAATATATGATCGTATCTATGGTTTCGCGTTGCTATTAAATTTGCCTTCGTGGATAAATTGGTTAAGATGACGCCTATATTAAATATCCTCTCAATGGTATGAGTTTAAATCTCGTTGGAACCTTTATTATTTTTTTTACTATTTAAATAGACATCCATATTTTTATTTTTAACTTAGAAATATAAATACACCAACTTATAAATTACTCTCGAGTAGTTTGTAACACGTTTATTCATCATCTCTCAGTTGCGTCTCTGTCTTTGGACAGAGTGCACTCTGGAGCGACTCCGTCAAAGGACAGAGTCGTCACTAAGGAAAATTATACTGAGAGGTACACAGCCCAGGGGAACAGCTGCCCGAGGCCGCGCCCTCTCATTGCATCAGAAAGAGGGATCGGTGCTCTCACTGAGGCCAACACAACCGACAGTTGACGGGGCTCGGGCAATTTTTGTTCCTAGCCCGGGTGTACGCACTCGGGCTCCCCACATTAAATCGACCTTGTATCACAACCTGACCTCGTGGGGGTGGGTGAGTAAATACAAGTACACCAACTTAAACTCAAATTCAAATAATATGAGATTTGAGTTTTCAATAGATACTAAAGTTATTTATTGTTAAGGGTAATCTCAACTAATTAAAAGATAAACAAGGCGAAAAATCATTTTCATAAAAAAGTTCTACTTATTAAATTTGGGTTAGTTTCCACAAAATATTAAGTCATCTATTTGAATGTAGCATTTTAAAAGCTAATATTATTTTAATTTTAAATAACAGTTGCTTCTGTTGACAACTACCCTAATTCTTAATATTTACTGAACAACACAAAGGTCAAATGAGGGCAATGAGAATATGAAATTTAGGTTGTGTCTATCTTCAAATGTGCAAATCAGCATTCAAAATCCTAGCATTGTATCTCGAATTTTATCGCCAACCATTGAAATTAATGGGAAATAGGCAGTTATATATGAATGGCGTGCCAGACCCAAACTTACGAGTACCTTCTTTTAGAATATTGATAAGAGAAAATTATTGAGATGCAAGTATTTCGTAAAAATTACGGATAAAATCATTGAAGTTTTTTGTAATATATACTTTCCATTGCTTTTTGTTTCTAAATGAAGTTTGTTCAAATGTTAGAAACCAGAAAAGATTTTTTCCTTTGTCCTTACGCAATAGACTTTTTCTTTTTTAAAAAACAAAAGAAAAAATCATTCTATTCATGTATTAGAGACATGTCATCTGAATAGACACTACCTACATTGTCTACCCACTATAATACTATAAAGGTTAAAGGTTAAATATAAAAAAGTCTATTTCATTGCAAATTTGGAAATTAATTCATTAAATTCGTTGTATGTATAATTCAGTAAATGGTTTTATTTTCATCTTAAAAATATTCCCAGTGTATAAATAATACTCGCCGTTATGTGTCGTTCTATTGCCGCAGACGCGTTGCATTTAGTTACGGTTCATAATGGTAGCAAAAAGGCTGCCTTCGCTTTTCTTTCTTTCTTTTTTTAATCACATGTGAAAATATTTTCTGCTCGCATACTCATTATCACCTTGATTTCTTTTCAGAATAATTTAAAATAATTTCTTATAGTGACAAAGCTTTTGTTAACAATTTAAAGGTTAACCAACTGCCTACCTTGAGTAGCAAATACTTCAATCTTTTATTATAAGATATAATTATTTATGCTACATATGCTAATAAATTTAGCACTTAAATTTGACTTTTTTTCGATCTTTAACATCTTATAGTAAATATTTAAAATATTCGGTTGAGTCAATCATGATGTCGTTCCTGTTATAATTGCAAAGAGCTTTTTCAGTAATAAGTTCAAGCTTCACCACATTTGATTTTGCTTCGATGAGATGCGAAAAATAATGAACAAATAATTTTAGCTACTCTGCTTTCAGATCCCATTTGAACAAAAATCTAAAACATTACTTGAAAAAATATTATTATGATGAAAAATATACTCAAGCTAAACTTTATTTCTCGGAATCATATTTGTTACTTTTTACTTCAATGTTTTCCTATGAAAGAAGCAAAATGGGGAAAAATCTGCACTAGTGTTTTCTTCGCACGTTAACCTTAAAATGCAATAAATCAACGAGATAATTGCTATCAAGCAACGCAGTTGCCTCCCTTGAGTTTATAAATCAGCAAATGGCCATGGGGTAACTAGAGTGCTTCCTGTATTACTATTTTCTATGTTCCCAGTTCTCCATTTACTTTCGTTTGTTTTCGCGTTATTTCGGCTCGTTGCTCATAGCAAAAGGATTAAAATTTGTTTTTCTTTTCACTTCAAGCTTGCTTATCAAAAAAGAAAATTTATTTCAGCGTCTTCTTGCAATCTGTAGCTGTCCGCACACACATATGATGAGAAAGGGCGTTATATATTGAATTTTGCAAACATGTGCGTACGTAAATGTCAGAAGTGATAAGGGAAAGAAATTATACCAAAAATAATGATCATTTTAAATGAGGCCTTGTTTTCGACTTGCATATATTACACAGATCAGCTTTTTATGTATGTGGGGCGCCAGTACGGTTTGTAGATATGCTTTAATTTGTTTTAAATTATTAAAAGATTCTAATAATCATTGCATTCGATATTTTCTCTGCTCAGACGGCTTCAGAAGGTTGAAGGAAAACTTCTAAGCGGCATATGAAATACCTTCAGTTTATTATGAAATTATGAAATACCTTCAGTTTATTATGAAATTGTATCAACAGCAGAAATAAACTGAATCTTTTTTTTATCACCGCATGGCCTTTAACATATGACCTTTATTTTTTGAGTTCTAAAATGTTTTATACATTTTAGTCCCAAGTCTATAGGAGTACTATATACCAAGTCTATAGGAGTACCAAGTCTATAGGAGACATTTTATGACTACTAAACTGAACTTGTGGAAAAGGGAGTTTTGAAGAGATTTCAAAACAGGCTCTTCATTATCTTCAATGAGATTTATAAGAATCATTTCCACCAGTTCAGTTTTAGTAAAGTTTTCTTTATCTTTAATAATTGGTTGTCATATTGACATAAAAGTGTATGAATAAAACAACTAAGAATGAAAAGTATTAGTGATTGAATCCATTACTATGACAACACATCGCCAAACGAACAAAAGTTTGAGTTAAAAAACAACATGGTGGTTGTTGCTATCAAACCTCTTTCTCCTGACCCCTTGCTCTATGCGTTTTTTGTTGTTGTTGTTGTTTTTTTTTTGTTTTTTTTTGTTTTTTTTACTGCGTATGAAACACAAACTGAAAATATAGCGACACGAAGAAAAAAACGAAAGACAAAAAAATCGCTGGAGATCTTGGATGAAATTTAGAATCAGTTCCAAATTTTTTTCCAGAAGTGCGAAAAACATTGTGGCAAGTGCATTTAATCAAGAGAAGAATATTTAGAATTAATTTCGAGTTGCCAAATCTAAAAGGACATTTTAATAATTCCTGTTATTTTATGATGTTATCACATATTTTGTCATCAAAACTAATAAAACTGCAATTTACAAAAGTGAAGAATTTAAAAGAAATGCTTTTGTTCTCGTAAATGTAAAGAAATTTGTGTTGCTTTTATATGAATTCTGATTATTGCGTGAATTATTAACATGAATCGCTTAATGGATCTGTTTACAGTGGTTTGGAAACCTTGTCACCCCAAAATGGTGGGATGATCTCTGGTTGAATGAAGGGTTTGCCTCTTATGTCGAATACATGGGAATTGAATTCCTCTTCCCAGAAAGAAAACCGGTAAGTCAGAAATGAAATAAAGAGCAGCTTCATTATAACGTCACAGTTATTGCGTTATATAAACTGAATATATACACACTTATATAAATAGATGTATAAATATGAAAAAAATTGTTTATGAATCTACGCCTGGTAAAATTTTGATCGAAGTTGGTTATGAGGACAGTAAAACAACTTACGTTATACGAAATTGCTGGATATATATATTTTTTCTGAAAGAATAAACTCACATAACTTCTGATATAAAGATGAAACAAGTGAAACATATGACTTAAAAATGTCTCTTTTACAATCTTTATAGTTACAATTTTATTGTCATTATACACATGCGCCAAGTTCCATTACCACCGGTCATGAATATGGGCTATATTTTTGTATACAATGACTGCGTAAAGATATTCATCGAAGTAATTTCAAATAAAAACAGCATTTCATTCCATTTGTAAGTTTCGAATGAAAGATATGAAAAGTAGAAAATATATTCAGCGTATGGACGGAGAATCTCTCTGGGAAATTTGATTTTTCAAAGCAGACAAATATTTTTCTTGTTCTGAAAGCACAAAATAGAAATCACGTGGATTTTTGCCCTGCTTGATCCATTGCTGATATCCTGTCATTGCACACAGAATTGGTGAGGCATTAGACATCACGGGAACAGTCGCATTAGACACATCAAAGGCCTTGGACAAGGGGCTTGCTACACAAATTTTTCCATCTATGGAATCTCTGGAAGTGATGTCTCGATTATCAAATCCTTCCTAACAGGTAGGTCCATGATGGTCGTTGTTAATGACCAGTCCCACCCCCCATGGTTCCCACATGAAATCAATGAAGACGTCCCCATGGCTCTTTTTTCTATCCTCTTTCTGCTTTATATTAACGATCTTCCTAAAAGGATTCACTTTAATGAAGATCTATGCAGATAAGACAATGGTATATGGCTGCACTTTCAGACGACCAGAACCTGGCAGCCGATCTTCTTCTGACCTAGCCAATGGGGGAGGGGGACTGACTAATAGCATTCCATCATCACCGAGTAGACCCTGAATTTTCGCCTATCGCGATGATAGGAAGCCCATTGACTTGAACGCCTAATGGGACTTCAGCTCGCCTCAGACTTCAAGTGCAACTCATATATATCTTCGCTAAAGATGCTGGAAAATGTTTAGTTTTATTGCCAACTCACCTTTTGTCTTACCTGGCTAAAGCTGTGATGGCCGCATTGAAAAGGATGAACTCCAAAGACAATTTGAAGCTACATTTACAAAGATTGGAATTCTTACACTGTAATCCAAGAACCTATATGATGATATCATGAACTATTGTAGAGGCGCTTGTAGTTGATACTAATAAGGTTTTAAGTACCAACTATTACAAAGATTTAGATTTTCATACCAAAAACTGAAATTATAAAAGACACTACTTCAAACTCAGAAGAATGCAATAATAAATATTCGTGGTATAAAAAAGACTAAAATTGTACTAATCCTCCAATAACGCAATTAGTTTTGAATGATCGATAATTCATGTGCGCACACACACACACAAGCACACTCGCCAACACACAAGCATACACACGCACACACACCAGATGCGTACGTGCGTATCAACATAAGTATTTTACTCAAATTCTACCTTTGATAAAGATATAGTTAATAACAATTTCTCACGAGTTATAAAACTTAAAAGAAATAATTTCACAGTGCCTCGTAATCTAAGCGCAGATAAAATATCAGATTTCACCAATTTGTTTTCGCTTTCAACTGTGAAGCACATGATTGCATAAATCATTAATGAAAGAAATGAAACTACTACATATCATTTACGTCATTTTTATCTCATCAGAAAAGGTGTCTTTATGTGACGAAAGGAAATATCTTAAATCCCCATTTCAAAAATGACAGGTGTGACAATGATTTCCGAATCAATTCAAGAACGGAAATTTAGCATCTTCATCGCGGATTATTACAGCAGAACGACCATTCCTTAAACCATTCTTCATTCAACAACAAAAAAAAGGAATGGGAAACTTAAAGGATGGTACAATATCAATATTTTCAGTTAACTCTTCGTTCGCTTGATTTTCTAACAGCTTGCGAGTATGGCACCAATAATTTTGTTTCAGCCGCTTGCATCACTATCAAATATGGGAGATTCTTCTGTTATGCCGTCGGAAACGTTCGGACTACTGAGCGTTCAAAACATCTGAAGCGTGTAGAGAAAAGCAGTGGAAAAATACACACATCTATTCTGTAAGAGAGAAATTTCCTAATTTGCATAAAATAATATTCTTGAACAGTTTAGAAAAATTATTGCTTGAAAAAATCGGCATATCTATTTTTACTTATATTACGCCTTCCTTGGTACATGTGCATTTTAATTGTGTGTGTGTGTGTGTGTGTGTGTGTGTGTGTGTGTGTGTGTGTGTACATGTTGATGACGGCAACATTCTCTATTTTGAATCTGATCTAATTATATGTGTCATCTTTATATATTTTCAGTTCCAAATATCCATCCTTGACTCCCTTAATTCAGCCCTGAGTTTCGATGGTCTTGCTTCTTCTCATCCCATTTACCAACCTGTCTCTGATCCAGATCAGATCCGCGAAATATTTGATTCTATTTCCTATTTGAAGGTGCCACAAATTCTTGATTTTTTTTTCAAATACAATTATTCATAATTCGTTTTTTTGATGTAATGAAAAAATAAAACAATTGGCGAACCAAGCGAATCATAACAATAAACTTCTTAGTTTATTTATACTAAATTATTAATTTAGAAATAAAATGTTTGATACATTATAATCATATCTCTGTCTATCCATTAGACATCTACATAGATATAGAAATCATAGAAATGTTACTCCAAAATTCGCTTGAGGATGAAATGGAACTAATGTCTTTAATTCAATTACAAAATTAAATTCGGGGGTTTTAGCTTCCATTTTTGAAACATGGTTAGTACTGTGTAGCGAAAAAAAACATATTCTAAATCACTTAATTTATAATATTAATGCTCTGTAAATTTACATTGAGCACTATTTTGTAAAAATAAAAAATATCTATAAGAACACCGGATTATATATCTTACTGTTCTTTCTTTATATATATATATATATATATATATATATATATATATATATATATATATATATATATATATATATTCAGGGATAATAACTGAGACATTACTCTATTTATTGAACTATTTAGTTCATGCCACATTGACTGATAAACTCCGACAACAAAAAAAAATTCTCAAATTGTCATATTAGTAAAAAATGCACTCTCTTAAATTTTCAAAAGATTCAACCTTAGCGTTTGTATTCGTTATCAATAACACATTAAAAAAATATTTCGATATATATATATATATATATATATATATATATATATATATATATATATATATATATATATATACTGCTAAAATATCTTTGGCCATCTTGTGATATACTAAGCCTCAAACAAGTGCATTTTTTTGTGTCTGAACTTCCATTGGTCATGCAATGGTTCAATGTATTCAAAGAGTTTAATGCATGCCGATATAAAGATGCAGGTACTAAAGATGCTACACGTGATCCTTTAGCCTAATTAGAACCGTTTGAGCGGAGTCGGATTATAAGCCTTTGAGAGGCTGCATTGCCATTTTAGAGAATTACTGCAAATTTGGATGGATCGCATCAGTAGTTCTTCGATGTTGACAACAGTGGGTAAATGAACTTTCTTACACCTGTGGCCCAGGTCCTGAATGGTTACTGTTGTGGTGTTCTCCCTCTAAAGAGTCTATGTTGGACTCTTCTGCCTACTATAAGATTAGTAGGAGAGAAGGCTTTGGGGGAACAGTCGAATAGATTGAACGCTGGGTCAACCGACACACACTCCCTAATCGTGTAATACTCTTCTGTTGTACTTACTGTTTAATATATGATATATCTGCCACCCTGGTCTTTGTTATTTCTTTAATCATTTCCTTGTTCAGACGTTGCCAAGAATGACACATCGTAAGGGCAACTCGCATCGTCTTCAAAACGTCTCAGTACAAATGTGACTCAGCTATGTTAACATTGATCATTTGGAATTGTTCGATCACAACAGGAAAACATACGACCTTCCACTGAGGCATATCAGTGCCGTGCACGTCCCCAGTAATGCACTGAGCGTGTCACTTGGTGGATCTAATAGCGCTCTACTGGGTTTAATAATGAGAGTACCTTATGCCTTCATGCAATTGATGGTTGCTTGCATGTGTGACGTAAATCGGGGGGACAACATCTATATGCCCACGTCATATAGACATAGTCCTTGGCATCATAGTGTAAGGTGTCATATGTTAAAACATTTACTGGCTTTTGGGGTTTATGGCGGGAACGTTGAACAGCGCCATGTATGTGCAGAACATTGTTGGATCCAATCTGCTGTCAGTTCTCTAACAAAAAGGCGATGTGCTGCTCCAGGAGCATAATGTTTCTTTTAGGAGGATAATGTTCCTCCGTCAGGATAATGTCCCTCCAGGGGGATAATGTTCTTCCAAGGGAATAATGTTCCTCCAGCAGGATAATATTCCTCCCGGAGGATAATATTCCTCCAGGAGGATGATGTTCATCCAGGAGGATAATGTTCTAGCAGTAGGATAATATTCCTCCGGCAGGTTAATGTTCCTCCAGTAAGATAATGTTCCTCCAGGCGGATGATGTTCATAATGCAGTACAGTAAGTGGAATCAGTGAACCGAATTCAAATTCTGACAGTTTGTTTCGTTCATTTTGGGAAAGGCATGAAAACCTCTCTTCTCTTCCAGGGATACGCGTTAAATAGCACGACAGATCAGACTGTTTTGCCTTGGTTAGTGGCCACTCGAAGGGGAAAACTCTGAATTTGTAAATAATAGAACATATTTGATTCTTTAGACTTTACAGGACAACTAGTCTAGAGGGAAAACATTAAATTGAGAACAAGCTTGAAGAGGGCCGTGCTCCTAGACACACCCACTGCTGCTACAGCTGCACTACATGTGGTTTCTTGTGGGCTCCTGAGGTGGTCATAACATGATTCCTGTGCTACCCAACATACTCTGCAAGAGGCATAACAATCACCAGACCTATCTCCTATTGAATAATGTATCGGACATGATAGGACGACTCGTTCAGTTAATCCACCGACAACTCTTGTTGTATTGCGTCAACAGATGCAAAAGACGTGGAATGATATTTTACAGGAAGAGTTTCATCATATGTAAGATTGCATACACGCGAGACAACAGACTTATATTACGCCCAATGAGGATATACAGTGTATTAATATGGGGTCTGAGTACTATATATATATATATATATATATATATATATATATATATATATATATATATATATATAAATATAAAGGTCAATGGTCAGAGTTGAATCAGACCAGGGAACAATAGTATTAAAAAGTGCTCAATACACGCGAGAAAAAAAATTAAAAATAAAAAATACCCTGTAGTGCTTTTAATTTTAAAAATCAGGAGGTCAGTTAAAATACGCGACCACGGTTTTGACCTGGTGATCGCGTATTCCCATTAACCTCCTGATTTATATATATATATATATATATATATATATATATATATATATATATATATATATATATATATATATATATATAATTCAAGTGTTCTTTTAATATGTGTTATTCTTTAAATACACTATGCATGTATTTCTGCATGATTTCCGACTAGAAAACGCACAAAGTGACCACAATAAGAACTATAAAAGTATTCATTGACTAATGTTCTCATCGTCCTCTGTTTATTTGAATAAGCTCCCGTGTCTCATACAATTACAGCGAAGATTTGTAATTTGAAGACACATTGTCTTATATGTTGATTTCACTAATACTTTTTATATATTTCTTTTGTAATTTTTGTAATCAGTATTTCTTTATTATAAAAATGCATCAGTAGACGCCGAAAAAAATGACTGTTTTCTAACACAACTTACAAATAGCAAATGAATTATAAATGAAATGAAAACAATAGAAATAGTTAACATGCTATATAAATCATATATATATATATATATATATATATATATATATATATATATATATATATATATATATATACTGAAAAAATATAATTATACTATATACATTGAATGAAAACAATAGAAATGGTTAACAAACAGAGGACTGTTAGAAAGAAGATAAAACCGATGATTCTAAAATAATTTTGTTTTATTTCTTTTTCTATACTACACACAGGGAGTCTCTCTAATCCGTATGATGAGGTTTTTCCTTGGAGACGAAACATTCCGAGATGGAATACGAGTAAGTGACTGTTATTTATGTTCAAGTAAAAATGAATGCAAGTACTAAACATTTTCGAATCTTGTTACAACATTAATGCTGTTACGTTTGAGTCTGTTAATAAAAGTATAAAAATGAGATTCTAAAGGAAATTTCAATGCAAGCAATTAGTAGTTAGCATCTGACTTAGTATACATTTTGGTATGTAATTACAAGGATTTGAAGTTTCAGCTTTCAGAACTGGTTCAAAATCAGTCCTTATCTAATATTCATATTCAAATTATTTCACATTTCGCATTTCCACTAGATGCAGGTAATGGCCTAAATAATTCTAACACAGCTTAATAAATTTAGAGACCGTATAAAGATGCGTGTGTGTATGTATGTATGTATGTGCAGAGAGAGATACATATATTTTAATATATGAAGTAAAAATTGATTTAAAATTATAAATATCACATTATCAAAATATGAAGGTTAGAATTACAGAATCGAAATTGTTTTATTTCACTTTTTCTTCTTTTAACATAAGAAAGATGAGAGAAATTTCTTTTGATTAATGACATTTATTTCGTACGGACACAGACCAGCACTTAAGATTGGGCAAATCTAAAGTCGACATCTTTCCCAGTTTTTATTATTTTCCTTGACTTCATATTTGCGCTAAATTTTCTCTTCAGTAAAATTTTCTCAAAAAAAATCGAAAATTTTCTTTTTTTCTACTTTATTGGTGTTTTTTTTTATTTATAATTTTTGTCGGTGTTGTTTTTTAGAATTATCTGAAAAAATTGGCCTACGGAGAATCAACGGATGACGACCTTTGGCAGGCACTTGGCGAAGTCAGTAAACCTTTAAATTTCTACAAAAATTTGTGGCTTGTGTGTATCAGTAAATTTTGCTGATTACCATTCGTATGGTTGATCAACGAATACATTAGATAGATAGTCGACATGCGTCCATTCTCTTGAAAATATTTTTATGAACACGGAGTTCATAGTATATAGTCTAAAAATCTATAGTAAAAAGACGTTCTCGCATCAGACTATGTCAGCTGCTCCCATTTTCTTATTTCTATAACCGAATTTCTATGTTAATATATTGACGATATACAATATTCCTAATTATAATTTGGTCATATTTAATTATAAAACCTGTAACAAATAATACAAACATTCCATCTTATAGAAAGTACATTAAAATTGAATCTAAATAAATTAATATTTGATTTACAAGAAATAGGCAATTTTTCCAAAGTAAATGCAATATTGCTGTTTCATTTCTTTATTACGCATACGTAGATTTGCATGTTTCACACCAATTAACTTTGATGATAATCAGTTGCAAACAACCTAATGAACTTGTAATGGACATTGAAATATTTTCCTATTCGATGGGTGAAAATGTTTACATTGAATCAAATATAATTATTTGCAATTGAAACAATTACGAATAATTATATTTGAATATCTTGTCGTGTACATAAAAAATAATATTTAGCTCCAAACTGTTGGCTAATTCGCTAGTGTTATGAGTTCGATACTAACTGTGTCTTGTGTTAATGTCTAATCTAAACCTACGAATGATACGAAAGTTGTTGATTTCAGCAATCGAAAGCAGATGGACGGGACTTGGATGTTAAAATGATTATGGACACGTGGGTCCTGCAAATGAATTATCCAGTTGTCATGGTCAAAAGAACTGGTGAAAATCAGTTGACAGTCACACAGGAAAGATTCGTGATCGATACAGATTCATCAAAAAAATTTAACTCTACTTTTGGGTGAGTTTTTTTTTTTCACCAATTTATTTACTTTTTCTTTATTTGAAACTCAAATTTTTCTCTGTGAAATCATTTCTACTTCTTCCTCGATTTTCGTTTGCGTGATTGCTTCATTTATTCATCATTATTGAATGATGATTATCTGATTGTATCTTTGCTTTATGAATAAATCAATAAATTTACGTGTAACTCTCAACACATTTGTATCTGCGCTGATACACACACATACACATATATATATACATACATACATACAAACGTACGTACATACATACATACATACATATGTGCATACATTCATACGTACATAAATACGTATATACATACATACATACGTACGTACATATATACATACATACGTACATACATATATACATACGTACATACATACGTACATACATACGTACATACGTACATACATGCATACGTACATACATACATACATATATACATACGTACATGCATGCATACGTACATACATATACACTGAGTTGGAATAAGATTTCGAAGTGTTTTTAAATAAAGACAGTATTTAAATATTTGCATATAGATTTATTCAACTACACATGTACCATTTTGTTCCATTATCTCTTGCCATCTTTGAGGCAGCTTCCTGATACCATCCTCGCAGAGGCTTCAAGAGAATTATCCCCATTAAGATAGTTTTATAGGGATCAAAATAAATCGTAATTTAAAGGTGTAAGATCAGATGAGTACAATGGCTCTAATAGGACATCTCAGTCAGGTTGTAGCAATTTTTTGGCCAAGTCTGCAATTAATAATAAAGTTTAATGTTGTTTTGATTGAAGACGAAACTCTTCTGATTGGTCACTTCCGGACGCTTTTCATCGATTGCTACCTTTAATCGTCCCAGTTTGGGGGAGTACTTATCTGAATTCAAGGTATTCTTTTGCAGAAGGAAGTCATGATACCCAATTCCCTTCCAAATACACAGAATCCCCTTCTCCGGATACAGATCGACTTTTTGTTTTCATCAGGACCTTTTTCGCTCTACATTGATGTAAACATACCATTTTCCATCGCCCGTGATCGTTCTTTAAAACATGTGCAGTTGCGTTTGAGCAGAGAATCGTAGATGGAATTGTTATCCATTAAAGTTTTTTTTTTCGGTAAATCGTGAGATAATCAAACATTGTAGAGATTCATGTATCCAAATGTTTTCAAATTGCTTTACATCACTCACATGAGATATGAGCAATCTCTCTGCGTTGTAGTGTGTCGTCTGGCATGGATTATTTTTAATCAATATTTGGCTATCATCAACGACTACAAACCTGCATGAACGTGCTCTAACTTTGAGATTAAAATTTTCCACTTCTGTGCATATACCTAGTAACAATACCATCAGCTATGGTACCATCTCCATAAGTGACACATATCTTTTTCGCTGCTTGTACAAAGTTTTTCCTTTCTGTTTTATTCAAAAGAGCATCAAATGACGAAAATGCATTTAATTTTCTTCCATTTCCAATTTTAACTTAAAAACATTTAAAATTCACAATCCACACATGAATCATATAAAAAGACACGTTGAAATGTCAGCTTTCAGAATATTTCATCCATTTCAGTCAGGTGTAAAGTCAACTCAGCGTGTTTTCTAATGCATTGATTTAATACTTCTTTCCTATTTTATTAATAATTAACCTGTAAAATCTAAGAATATCATTCAGAGAATTTTCCGTTCAAAGTCAGCCATTGACATTGGAGTTTCGATTCTTCTTAGTTGACGATATCGAAAATACAGTAAAATTATATCTTATTACTATAAAACTTTATATTTAGTAAGTGTATGTGTTTGAGGAAACATCCTTGTTTTTAAACAGTAAACCGGCCTAGAAACTGAAACTTCTTACTAAAGAAAATGTGGCTCCCGACAAGAATCGAACGTGTATTCCCTTTTCAATCAATAATAAGAAATAATATCAGAATAAAACAATTCATTAATTGCTTTAAAAATCGTAAGAATATATTAAACTTTTAATCTATTTTTTTCTGAAGGTACAAGTGGCAAATTCCCTTTGTGTACACAACTTCTAAAGAAGGTGAATTTGACAAGAAAGCCAAAGACGTTATCTGGATTGATTATACGGCGGATAAAAGTAAGTGCACAGTCGAGTAAATGAACTTCCGTTTTATCTTTGAGTAAATGAACTTCCGTTTTATCTTTGAGTAAATGAACTTCCGTTTTATCTTTGAGTAAATGAACTTCCGTTTTATCTTTGAGTAAATATCTTTTCATATCTGTGTGAATGCACCCACGCATACACGTTTTAATGCTTTCGTTCTTTGTCTATGATTAGAAATTTAGCGCGTTGAGGAACATATACACCTTACATAGTCGCGTAAAATCCTTTTTTAATGTAAGTTAATGAAGGTAATAAAGCGTCTAAATAGTAATAAACAAACTACTAATAAAAAATGTGAAACTACATCCAACTAAACTCGGCATTTTATAAATGCAAAATTGGCCGCTGGTAACAACTCAGATTAATTTAAATGGAAGTTCTTTATATTTATGAGGGACATTTTATGATAGAGAATAATTTGTTGATGTAGAAAGGAAGAGGATTTTATTGTAAATTCTTTGTTGTTTGTAGTATGCTTCTGTCGTGTAGAGTGGATGATACACTTTCATATCCAGTAATTATCTAGTTGTGTTATTCATTAATGATTTTGAAAAGGATGTTTATTTGGAAGCTTCGTACACAAGAATGAAATTAAGTTCAACCCCAACTAAGTTTTGTGATGTCAACGAACACTCGTTTGATATTTCCATAGCGTCAAAACTCATTTCACAACAATGAAGTAAAGCGTTCCTTAAATACATCGTAACAAGTGATGAAAATGAGTTACATATGAAAATACTTAACGCAAGATGCAGTAGATTAACAAGTTAATTAATGTTCAAAACTGACCCCAATAGCTGGCCTCCATGAAAGAAAGCTAATTTTGTGCCTGCGATGGAATCGCTGATGTATTATTCATTTAGAAATTTTAAGAAGTAATAAAACACTAAATGCACATTTAGAAATCCAGCAGCTGCAACGTGTCCATAAAAGTTTGGTCGAAAATAGGGAAAAAATATTTTCTTCCATGACGACGAAAGGCTGCATAAAAGAAAAATAATACATTTTGGAACTCCATTGGCATTTTAACCGCAAAATATCCAGCTGACCGATTGATTGTTATATTTTTCAATCACGTCAAAACGCTTCGATGGGGAAAAGTTTCTCTAATGAAAACCAGATTCAAGAATTTATCGAAAACTTTTCACATGAAAACCTGCGGAATTTTACCTTAACAGAAAAGGTATTGAAGAACTGCCTGATAAGTGGCAACAAGTCTTTGCAAAATAATGGTGAATCTAGAATTGTATAAAATGGATTTATGCTTTTAAGAGTAAAATTGATAAACAAAAACGGAAATTATTTGTGACTGAAACTAATAAATCAATAAATAAATAAATCAATTTTAAAAATAATAAATAAATAAATAATAAATAAATCATAAATCGTATCTAACATCGGAACGATGAAACTGACTAAAAGGATTTCTAAATGCATTTGGCTCCCTATTCTATTCTAATTATTCTATTTTTACTATGACTGAACATTCAAACTGAACGATGACCATTTGACGTAGCTTAAGTTCTGATAAATATCAGCGAATTTTTTTAATAATAGTTGGACAATCGTTCGTTTGATAAGAAAATGTATCCTGGTGGATTTGAATTTACTTGTTAAAAATTGACATTTCAAACTTAATGTTTTAATTATTAGCAGCTGTTGATAATTGAAATCTTTTGGGTGAACTTAAACAATATTATTATCCGATTATCCCCTCACCGAAATATGGTGCCCGTATACACGTGTCTGTTCCTATTCCTGCCAAAGATCAGCTATCATTTTGATTACTCGTTACATAGATAAACAGAATTGTATATAACTAACACATAGCATTTGAAGATTTTACAATAACTGGACTGAAAACACGTTTTGGCAACATCTTTAACTATTCATCATCTATCTGAATGGTATGTATAATGATGGTTGTCATTTGATTTTGAGTGGTGCTAGATGCTTCTTTATTTAGCAGACATAGGAGGCGTCGATGTGATATTTTACTTCTGCTAGGGATTTACACTCTTGCACAGATGTGGCAACTCTAGACGCCTCTTGCAGCAGATACTATAATAATATTTTGGTGAAAATATGACGTTTTAGTTCACCAACTGAGGCACATTCTTTTTCACACTCATTGCAAGTAGAAATGCTGTACAACGTGTAATTAATGTCTTTTCTCTGTATGTTTTCTTTGATGATTATTAAAGCCTTCCAATTTATGCGCGAATGCGTTCATTACACTTTGGCTAAAACTCTGTGCCAATATACATGCATAATGGCTGGCCATTCGTATCCGATGATTTCCGTCAACAGGTGCGGCTAGTCAATCCCTATTGTAGACGCCTGCTCAGGCACATTTGTATTTGTTCAACACCCACAGAGCCCACCTGTGGTTTATACTGCAACTATGCTGAGCAGACCTTAGTTACAGTTTCTGGGAAAGAGCGTGTTATCTGGTGTGATCAACAATCTGAACAAGGCCAGCACACTCAGACTCTCGGTCACGATGACTTGTGAATTCGTGATAGCACAACCATCGACAGTTTCCAAAGGGTTCCGTCTACCCAATTTTACTCACAAGGCTTGGATCAACCCATGGTATGGCGTTCAGGCACTTTTCAATTGTGCCGCTCGCTGGTATCGCCTCTACAAGACCTTCCTGACAAATCGACCATGGTGAGATTCGAACTCGGGTCTCATGGCCGGAAAGCGAACATTCTAACCACATACATACATGCATACATAAACACACACATACATACATACATACATACCTACATACATACATACATACATACATACATACATACATATAATTGTCGATTTTCTCCGAAAAATGATGAACTCATTTTACGGTATTCAATGGAGTCCTTAGAAAACCAGCAATACGATGAGATGTAATTATTTACTTTGGATTTTGTTTTTTCTTTAGCTACAATTGCAGACCAGTCTCTCCCATCGCTGACTGATGAAAATGGCTGGTACGTCGGCAATTGTCTAAAATATGGACACTACAGAGTCAATTATGACGAGAAGAACTGGTACGCTCTCATTAAACAGTTGAATATGGACTATAAGGTTTGTGAATTTATTGTGATTGTTTAATTTTTTTAGTAATTCTCTGATTATCTGTTTGGTTCATACTAAGATTTTAATTTTTTTCTAAATTTATTTTTATTTCTGGCAGCTGAATATTTTTATTTCCAATTATATTTATTTCACAGCAACTCCCCACCACCACATAAAAAAAGAAAAAAAACGGATTCAATCTTTTAGCATTTTCGTTGTTCATATGTATAAAATACTAAACACGACTTCAAGAAAATAATTAATTTTATAAATACACTAAAATTGATTTCCAGTTTTGAAAACTGAGAATTCTGTTCTAAAAGAGATTACCATTGTGTGCTGGCATTTTATCTTGCCTTTGTTTTGTTCAAAATGTATAAAAATTAAAGAAAGTTGTTGAAAATCATTTCTGATTTCGTTTCCTCACAAGTGAAGAAATCACTTGTCATTAACTAAGCTTACCATAATTTGCCACAAAGCAACAATAGGGGACGTATACAATGAAGAGAGAATTCATCACAGTCAACCAGATTAACTCCTTAATCATTACGCTTCCAAGAGACATCCTCTGAAATTTCATTTGTTATGTTATATATGGCCTTCTCGTTGTACGTTAGTAAGAGAAAATGGTCCCAGCGGAGTTGATTGGCTTCAATCATGCGGTCCAGTCATTGAACTGCATCACTAATAAAAGATGTAACTTGTTTCTTTCAATGTTTTAACAATTTCACACGTAAACTGTTTTCAACATAAAACTAATTATAAATAAATAAATAAAGATAAATATTCCCCTTATTTAAAAAATGGTAATGCAATTTAATGAATAAAAGCTTAATTTTCTCTATGGACAAATTTTTCATTTTTTATCCACAAAATGGAAAGACAAGACTTGAACACTCCATAAAAAATCTATGAAAATTATAAACGATAAAAAATAAGAATTCATCCCTCTTCATTTCTTAGATACTTTTTCTGGTTATTTCTAAAGCTTATTCTATTTAATGGCGATTTAACATAATGAAATCATTCAGTAATAATAATAATAATCGATTTCAATGTCCTTCAGTTACAAGCGATGCCATTGCCAATGTTATCTGCTATTATCATGTTTTGAAGATTTGTAAAATGCGAGCAAACGACTATAGTGCGCTATCATTTATAGTGAAGTGTATGACTATTGAAATAGATTAGTTTAATTTGGCCTTGTTAGTTAGATAGCCCACCATAAGAGGTGTATAAAACAAGAAAATCAAATTGTAAAGTGAAACAAGAAATTTATATACATAAAAATCAATTAAGCCCTCTACAAATAAAATTATTGTATTTTGGTAGATACAAGGTCGTCAAAATGTTCGTATTAGTCCTTGCAATAATGAGTTTATGTGTACGTAGGCAGGAACGTATGTGTGTATGTATGAGCGTTATCGTAGGGTAGGAATATCTTTGAAGTAATCGCTCAGTCTTAAAATGTTCCGTTCGTTTATCAAGTATAAAAGAGGTGAGGGAGAAAGGTAGAGATAATAATAACGCTCACTTGACGTTGTCAAGGGACGTGTTAATACGCTCGTCTCCTTCTCTCTGGTGACAGGCGAACTTGCCCGTCTTTTATTTTGTTTGTGGGTCTTGAAAAGGTCATTTGGGAATTCACTCCCAGATATGATTGGACGACGAACAAACTTCGTGTCGGCTTACGAAAAGGTACGTAAAAGAATTTGTTTCTGAGAATTGAAGATTATTTGAATTTTGTTTTTAAATGTTTCCTAGTGTTCTATTGGCCGAAAAACATTTCGCATCAAGGTATGAAATTTCAAGAGTTTTGTTTTGGATTCGCTTTTGTGTGTGTTAAGCAAAGTTTGTAAATTCAAGTTTTTTTAATTTCTAACAAAATCAATGAGTCAGTGCTTAGCATTTGAATTTTTAAATTTAGATCTTGTTTTGTTCACTACACGCCTATCGAAGTTTATAACAACGAAGCAGCAAAATGTTATGATGTTTTTTGTTGTTATTTCCAATGTTCCTTATTTCCTATTTGATCAAATAATTTACCAGGTTTTTTACTTGGAACCTAAGGCAAATGAAGGTTTATTTCCTTGCAGAGTTTTTGCGTATATGACATTGCGAGAGTTTTTTCTCATTATGTGAGCGGTGTTCATGAGACTAACCTTTTGTATCTCAGACAATAATGAGTTTCCTGGCAATTTCTGTATCAATATTCTTTTTAATAATTCTTAGTGCTACTATTATTATTGGAATAGTGATTGTTGTTAAATGCCACATTCTGTGATTTTCTATTTATAGGTCTTTATATTTTTAATTTTTCCCATTTTTTTGTTGAGATGATCTTTATCAGATTGACTGACCATGTCTATGAGATAACACTTGGGTTTTTCGAAGACTTTAATTTTTGTGCAGTTGAGTCGATATGTCTGGTGAAATCCCAGAGAACTGTAACATTTTCATCTTATGATGGTTTGTGTTCATACCATTTTTCTTCATAAGGATGGTTATCTCCCTATCACGTCTATATTTAAATTCATTTGGTGCGAGAGTACCCAGGTACTAGATGGTCAATAGATTCTTCAGCGTTTGTACGAAACGTACAGACCAAATATACACATTTGTACATTTATCTGACCCATTCATCAAAATATGTGGCTAGTAGTTGCTTGCTGGCGGGTTTTGATCTTGAGCAACCACGGTGAATCCCTCTGTTTTTTTTTTTTAGTTTCAACCTAGAATGACGAGCTTTTAATAAAAATCAGGTTCACAATGGGGGTATCGGTCAATTAAAAGCTCTTCTTCCAATTTGGTATTCAGGTTATGTGACTTTTATTTTCTGCTTCTTATTTTATGCGTTTGGCCTTTACTCTTGCTATTATTATTATTATTATTATTATTATTATTATTCAATGTAACTCTATAATTTCAGGCAATTCACGTCATCAATAGAGGGCAGATTATCGATGATGCCTGGAGTCTTGTAAAGTAAGTACTGCATTTTTTTTTTATTCTGGCTGAATGTTCTCATTTTACTTTCGTTCGGATTTTTGTGACTTTCTCTTCTTTGTCTGCAACTTGATCGATTCCTATATCGATTATTTACGAATTCACAATCGGAATATTTATATTTACAACCTTCTATATTTCGATTTCGGTTACATATTCTTTTTTAAAAAAAAATTTACCTAAAATAGAAATTACAAAGGGACATATCGGGAGTTAGGAGTCTAAGTCTGAGTTTCTCTCTATCTATCCATCCGTCTGTCTGTCTGTCTGTTGTCGCTCTCTCTCCCACTCTCTCTCTATTTCTCTCTCCCTCCCACTCTCTCTCTCTCTCCCACTCTCTCTCTCTCCCACTCTCTCTCTCTCCCACTCTCTCTCCCTCCCTCTCTCTCTCTGTTCTCTCCCTGGTTGTTTTCAAGGGGATAAAACAGACCCAGATACAATTAAGTACAATTTCTATTGATGGTGATTATGCCATTTGCTAATAAAAGTAAATGTCGTAATCACGACCAATAAAAATTGCAATTGTTCAGCATAAAGTCAATTTTTCTATTAAATTAATAACATTCCGGGATTTTTGGTGGTTGTAGAATGTCAATTTCTGAATGTCCTGGAATTATGAATCTATTTTAGTGATCGCAACAAATGATAATAAAAAGATGTTAGGTGTGGTGATTATCGAGAATGAAGCAATTTTTTCTAATCCCCTGATATTTTCTCTTGAGTTTATTTTGCTGAATAAAACCTTGTATTGTTAAATTGGACGAATAAATAACTTCTGCATTTCTGTTGTCAAGTTATCGCTCGAGTTTTTGTCAATATGGATCTGCAGAGAAGGTTTCGCCATTTTGTACTGGACAATATGTGCCTTGTTCTGCCAGATGCATGACAAAACGTCCTGTGCATGAAATTCTGATTTTAGTTGGAATTGGTTTGTAATTTTCGTTTGCTTTTAACATACAGTTTTTATTTTTAATCCAATCAAAGAAAAGTAGGTTTTCATTTCTGTTCAGCCAACTGTTGCAAATGGTTGGACATTGTGTTCGGTTGTTTGCTGAGGAGAGTTCACAAAAAATCAATTCCCCTCTTTAGATTTCTTCCCGATGTCATTTCCTTAATATCAATTATATAATCGAATGATACATTATGAGTTTCTAATAAATGTCTTGTGTTTTGATAAAGATCTGCTTTCGCTAGTTGTTTTAAAAGCACAGCCGTTTTGCTTTTCTGTTTAGAAAGCTTAAAATCGCCTTATTTAAATTTACTGCTCCAATTGTTGGCAATTATACAGCCAATACACCTGGATACATCACAAATATTCAACGTTATCTGCGTTGCATTAATACATTTATGAAATTCATAAAGAATACAATAGGGAACATGACATTTATTAAAATCTTTGTTGCGTTATTATAAGTTTTACATTCTGTGACTCTAGGTTTTGCTTAATCTTTAATTTGCTTTAATGTGTTGCTTGATCGTAAATGCGATATTACTTTACGAACAACCTAACATACACACACAGACGCACATACACACACACACACACACACACACACACACACACACACACATATATATATATATATATATATATATATATAATTTAGTCTGAGACGAGCCCATCGGGTGAAGCACAATAGTAATGGTATGCAAGATTAGTATGCTAACCACTGCACCACTACAAGTTTTACATTGTATCTATGAATTCAAATATTTTGGCAAAAAGAACACCTACCAAATACTATTTACATTATTCGGACTATTGTCCTCATCTTTGTCACCATATTTATTACAACGTTTCGGCCGTTGTACGCTCCAGCCTTCTTCAGGTAGTTGGAATGTCGAACAGACCCCTTTATTTCGCTCACTGGGGTAGACCTACTAAATAAATGGCGATTTCTATAAATTCTATAATAGTCCTGTGGTTTGTTGTCTTAATGAAATAACGTTTCCTCTTTTATTATTTTGAAGGGCGGATGAACTGGAAGTAGAGATTGCTCTAGGAACGTTGGAGTTTCTAAACGAAGATGATAGCCTCGGACCATGGAGAGCAGCTGCTGCTGAGATGTCGTACCTGAAGACTCGTCTTATTCGAACAGACACATACAAAGATTTAGAGGTAAAAAAAAAGCAAAAATATTAACATCTTTCGAAAGCATAAGGTGACATAAATGCATCAATTCTCACGCAATATTAAGAAACAAAATCTCTTCATGGAATGCTGTTAAAAGGTGTAATATGCGTTCATTATATTTTTCCATTTTTTCCTTCCTCGAACGAAAAACGGTCGATATGCCTATTAATTATTCAAAAAACAATTCGTCAATGCTTGAGTGACTTGGAAATGTGTGCAATTATCAGCATTAATTCTTTTGCACTCTAGGTCTTATGGATTTAAACGAATTGACACATCAAGGAAGCATACTTACATTAACTTGGCTCAAGAATAGTTCTTTTGGTGTAGTTTCTAACCACCTAGATTTGTACGCAAGTAAGAATCATCCAAGAGTTATCCCGGTTGTTTAAAACAGATTCAATGGATTATACTTTACGGATTTATAACGTTTCTTCAAATCTAGGTTTGTATTAAATTCGATTGATAACATTTTGGATAACTGGATTTTTGTTAATTCTCACACTGACATCGAGCCTAAATTGTTTTCTAAAATGCGTGAATCATAAAATAAAAGTTTCAATTCATTGACATTTCTTAATGTATTGATTCTAACCAATCATTTTGCTAATATTACAAGCATTTTTCTGCGCTTATCTGAATCAGAAATTTGCTTGCAATGATTGACCACCCAACCAATCTATAAACGAATCAGGTCAACCAGGCTAGCTCGCCAACCATTATCCCATTGCAGCATTTTAACTCGTTTAATTTAGGATCACTTAAAATTAAATTGCAATAAAATTACTTATAAAAAATCTTAATGTTTTATGATAAAAGAATATATATATATATATTGGAATCTAAAAGATAAGAACAAAACACCTACGATTAAATGGAGTTTGGTTAAGAAAGCTCGTACATGTAACTCCCTATATACCCCATGTTACCTATGCCTTAATGAAAAATTTGAAATTATTAGATTTAAAAACAAGGCTGATCTCTTAAATCAAAGATATGAACTTACAGTAAATTGTAAACACCGTTATAAATTTAACTTAGTGTAGGGGTCGTATACTTTAAATGATAATGATATGTCGCTGTATTTTTAATAGATTAGTATTTTTATTGCATGATGGTCATACTTACGATATAAGTGTGTATTGTTTACCTGCATAGTGTTATTAGTGTTGGTGTAAATGTGTATATATTTATTTATGTGTTGGTTAGAGTATTTGCACTGAGGAATATGTAGGTTGGTGTATAAATGTATTTATGGTTTTTTTTTTTTTTTTTTTTTTTTTAAGTGTGGGTGTATGTGTGGGGTGTGTATATATGTATATATATGTGAGTGTGTGTGTATATATATATATATATATATATATATATATTATGTGGGAAGGTAAGGTAGATTATAAGAGAAAAGGTTAATAATTGTTGCTGTATATGTGTATGTGTGTGCCTATATATGTATGTGTGTATGGGTGGGTGTATATGTATGTATTTGTGTGTGTATGTGTGTATATGTATGTATGTATGTATGTAGATATATATATGTTTGTATATATATATATATATATATATATGTATGTGTGTATATGTGGTTGGATATATATATATATATATATGCATATATATATGTATGTATGTGTGTGTATGTGTATATGTATGAGTATGTACATGTATATGTATGATAAAATCACGGCAGTATAATGGTCGGCCAGCATGGTTCGCTAGATTAGGTGCGACTGAGGAATGAGTTCGTTCCTCACTGGGTACCCCCTAATTTCGGCTTTGTGCCACGATATATTTGTATATATATATGTATGTGTATGTGTGTATGTATGTGTGTATATATATATATATGCGTGTGTGCATATATATATATATATATATATCTGTATGTCCTATTTTATTGTGTATGTGTATTTATATTTAAGTATATTTCTGTTTGTATGAATGTGTTTATATATTTGTATGTTAGACTATATGTATATTGCTGTGTGTTGGTGTTTGAAGGTATATTTATGTATCTATATGTTAGTTCGTTTATATATGTATTTGGTTGAATGTTGTTGTATTTTTATGTATGCATGTATATATGGGTAGTTGTTATTGTAGATAGATATATTTATTTATATATATATGTTTATTTGTAGATATGTATGTATGTGTGTATATATATTTATCTATGTTTGTGTATGTATATATATATATATGTATGTGTGTTGGCACCTATTATGTATGAGTTTGTGTGTATGTGTGGGTATGGAAACTTTGATATATCATGACTGTGTTTTTTTATATATCTAAGTATGTGTGCATAAAAGTCTATGTGTATATATGTGTGTGTATTTAGGTTTATATGTATATGTGCGTACATGTGTACTTGTTATCATAGATATGTATATGTACGTATATGTTTATGTTTATATATTTATTTGTATGTATTTCTGTATGTATATGTATGTATGAGTATATATTTATGTGTGTTAATTTGTTTTGCTGCCGTGTATATATATATATATATATATGTATATATTTGTGGATTTCTTTATCCTGTTTTTTTTTGCCAAATATATAATGAAACTATTATCAACTTATATGATTAATAATATATATATTTTATTGATATTTATGGTTTTAGAATTTTCGTTTTAATATATTAAATAATATTATTTTAAACATTTTTTATCTTTTGTATATTTGCTCCCTTAAGTTATAATTCAATAAGTGGTTAGCATTTATTTAAGTCTGAAATATTTACTGGTTGTGATTTTCAATGTCTATGCCATTGTCTGTGGATGTATGAATGTGTATATATCGGTGTCTATGTGTATGTAGAGTGTATTCACATTTAACTGTGTGTGTGTATAATGTTAGTTTCACGTCTCCTTTTTTCATAAAGGGCTGTAGAGATGTTCATGTATTCCCCACCTCTCCTTTTTTTTTTTTTTTTTTTTGTGTGTGTATGTTTTGTGTGTGTGTGTGTGTGTGTGTGTGTATCTAATTATGTCTGGATGCTTATGTATTATAATCTGATTGTGTTTTTTGTTGTGTCACGCGTGAGTTTAAGACCATATTCACAAACTTTTAAAATAAAACGGAAAAGAAAGGGAAAAAGAAAAAATATATATACATTTATTATCAAATGACCGGATGTATTATAGCGTCTTGTCTTGTCGAACGTAATTTCAATGAAGAAATGAATTGAATAAACATATATATTTTTTCTTTTCTCAATAATTTTTGTAGTTTTTAAACTTAATAGTGATTAAATTTGGATTTTAAAATTGCCAGTTTTTAATTTTAATATTAAATTTTATCATGTAAATTTATAATTATTAGTTAGTATAAATTATTTTTAATATTACACGTATTTAAAGATCTGAATAGCTATTAGAGCAGGATTTCGTTGTCGCTTTTGAATTTTTCTATACTTCGTTTTTGATTGGTTATTCTAGCTTTTTGTAACAATGTTTCCCTAGTGTAGGATCGTTAATTAATCTGAAACTTTTAAAACCATTTATTTTATTTTCAACATCATCACTTGATAAGACACAGAGTGTGTTGAAACAAAATGGCTATTTTTGTAGTGATTTTATAACATACTTATGTTATAATTTTTTTTATAAAATAATTATATATATATATATATATATATATATATATATATATATATATATATATATATATATATATAAAGATAAATTTGCCTTTAAATGAAACAAAAATATGGCCGACAGAAAAATTTATAAATGTTGTTCAAAGTTATCTTGTGGTCAGAAAACAGCAACTTTCGCGTTACCAGCAACTTCAAGCACACACACACAAACGCGCGCTGACATACATTACACACACATGATACACATAACAAGGATGATAATTTTAATTATTTGGAATGAATATTTTTTAACAGTTTTGCAAATAACAAGAATAATTTATTGGTATTTTCTGCGTTATATAATTTTCTTGTGTTGTTTTTGTTTCAGTTGTTTCTCCGTCGTTTGGTTGTTGGTCATTACCATCGTTTGGGCTGGGACAATACAGGAGCTGATTATACCGAATCGTATGTAAATGATATTTTCTTCGATTATTTCTTGTAAATTTTGGACTTAGATTCTCAATTAAAAATGTTATTTTCCATGTCTGTAAGAGAAAATTTACTTAGAAACCCGAAAAGAAGTGAAATAATAAAATAGAAAAGTTAGGCGTAGGGAAAGATTTTCATTGCACTCACATTCAGGGTTGCCAGGGGAGTAAGTTTTATTTCCCTTTTGTATCCAAAATTGCAGCTATTATTTATATATTCCACATTTGAAGAGTTAGAGAAACATAATAGCTAATTAAGTAAACCTATATTATGGAATCTATACGAAATTGGAGCTCAATTCCCGACGTATTCTGAGATGAAATGCCTCAACTCTACTTTATTTACTAAGTTTCGCACACAAGGCACAGTATCTGCATTATATATTATCTATTCTAGGCAGTATCACGCTTCAGGTTTAACTAATTTCCATATTGATTTTAAAAAAGTTTATTTTATTAATTAATTGTCCTTCATTACTGTTCTTTTATTCGAGGATTGTTTTGATTTTCATATCAAAAATAGTTCTGTTTAAGAATATTTTCTTATATAGTGCAAAAAAAGTGTTTGAAATTTGCATTTTACTTGGTCTTCATCATGTTGGCATCTATTTGTAAAACTTTCCTTAACTATAACAAGCCAATTTATGAATGAAATGTTCATTTAAAATTTTTGTTTCAAAGATTTAAAGTAATGAATATATCGGCTAGTAACATATAAGAGATTGTTAACTTATTATTAATTGATTTAAAAAATAAAACCATGAATGCTGTTCTACAAGTTCAGCGTTTCTTGATGTCTAAAGTCTCAATCATGCAATTGTTTATTGCCGAGATATAAATACAAAAAGTGAAAGAAATCTGATTACAATAAAACATTTCGTACTTTATGAAAAGTGTTTTATAAGAGGACAGAATATTCATTATTTTGTATATAAACATATTTTCTTTTACTATGTTTGTAACTTCGTTTACTTTGTTCTTATTACGATATTTCAGTCGAGCCATTCTACAGCCTTCTTAATATGTATAATATGTAAGGAAAGAGAACGCTCCATTTTTCTTTTATTAAGGGTAGCAAATAGAAAAGAATTGTGGCAAATATATTGATTAGATCAAGTCATTAATAGGAACACATTCAATACAAGCGATTTTATTCCCAGTATTCCTTGTAACGTAGATCGTTCCCTATTTTATTTACATTTGATTTCCTATTTTTATACGCAGAAATGCTCTTTAATCCCTGCCCTAATAAGTAAAAACACCCACACCGGATTGAAATTTATTTTAGCCTAACTTAGACATTTAATTGTTAGGTTGATGTATAAAGCTTTCTTCAATTTTCTTAACTTTCAGTGATGCCTTTTATTTGAGTCTCGTCGAAGAGATGATAGTGTTTTCCTTTCATTTTCACCAAGTTTTCAATTCCTTGTTTTTGAATATGGCATTCTTATATTCCTCAAGTCTGTTTTGAATTTATACGAAAAACTCTTGGAATTATTTTTTTATGAATTACAGAAACTCCCAGAGTTATAAATTTACAAAAAATGATCGCCGAAAATTAACTTTTAAAAAAAAAAGGTTTAGCATAATTAACAATAAGAGTAATAAGAACTGTGGATTTAATATATATTTAAAGAGCACATCTGCAGAGATAATTACTTCTTTGTTTTCTGAGTCGACACATTGATTTCATATATATCTTATATTTAATATACATTATATCGCTCTTTTTGAAAGAAATCAGAAACTATAGTCGATTGAGTTTTCTGTGTTATTAGTTAAAAATATAAAAGGCAAAATACAAATTGTATAGAAAAATGATATTGATTTTTTTTCATTTTTAACTCAAATATTAATAATTTCTCACTATTTAAAACAAGAAACAATCATATCGGATTAATTTTACAGGTTTCATGATTGTGTAATATTTTTAAGTACAAGAGATTGCATACAAATTTGAAAAGAAATTTCCTAAGGACTGTTTTTAATATGACAGGTTTGTCAATCCAATAAAACAGTTTTATGGTAGATTTTAAAGACCAAAAACAGAACTTCTGAAAAGAATGTACCTATTTCTATGTTTTTTTTTGTTTTAAATTGCTAATTAACTACTGACAGATTATATTCGGAGAAATACATGTCTCCCTAGAAGCGTTCGTAAAAATACTTTTCCCTGGAAGCAGTCATGATTACTCCTCAATCGAAGTCATCGCAGTTGTACTTGGAGATGTTTGTATTTTTCATTCATTTATCACATTGATAGCGTCGCGCATTGTTCAACAACTTAAGCAACATTCTATAAAATTCCTTTACTGAATATATACAAAGAAAAGCTCCATTGAAAATCATTTTAAAGATCCATATTGTTAGGTAACATATTTCTTTACCATATTTTTAAAACTAAAGCTTAGATTCGAAATGTTGTTTTGTTTTATGGCATATCAACCTCACGATCATTTAACGCCAACAAAATTTTGAAATAGATTCATAGCGATAGTTTACTAAAAAATGGTGTGTATGTATACATATATATTTAAACCATTTTTCAATAACTCATATTTTTTAGTACAATCCAAATTTTTTAGGAAATTTATAATCATGGATGGTTTTATTTTCGTCAAAAGTTTTTTTAATTATTCACATCGTAATATTTTGTTCACACAAGATCAAAATCTACAAACTCTAATAGTATATGTTTCACTTTAAATTATTCTTGACATGAAGTGGCATCTAGTAAATAATAGTAGGTGATGTAGGTGTGGGCTATATGAAGGCGGGTCAGCACGTCAATTTCTCTTGGCATGTAGTGCATATTGTGGATTCCGTTCCCTCTATGTTAGGTGATGTAGGTGTGGGCTATATGAGGGCGGGTCAGCACGTCAATTTCTCTTGGCATGTAGTGCATATTGTGGATTCTGTTCCCTCTATGTTAGGTGATGTAGGTGGGCTATATGAAGGCGGGTCAGCACGTCAATTTCTCTTGGCATGTAGTGCATATTGTGGATTCTGTTCCTCTATGTTAGGTGATGTAGGTGTGCGCTATATGAAGGCGGGTCAGCACGTCAATTTCTCTTGGCATGTAGTGCATATTGTGGATTCTGTGCAATCTATGTTACGTGATGTGGTGGTGTGGGCTATATGAAGGCGGGTCAGCACGTAAATTTCTCTTGGCATGTAGTGCATATTGTGGATTCTGTTCCTCTATGTTAGGTGATGTAGGGTGCGCTATATGAAGGCGGGTCAGCACGTCAATTTCTCTTGGCATGTAGTGCATATTGGGGATTCTGTGCCCTCTAGTAAATAATGGTAGGTGATGTAGGTGTGGGCTATATGAAGGCGGGTCAGCACGTCAATTTTTCTTGGCATGTAGTATATTGGGGATTCTGTGCCATCTAGTAAATAATGGTAGGTGATGTAGGTGTGTGCTATATGAAGGCGGGTCAGCACGTCAATTTCTCTTGGTATGTAGTGCATATTGTGGATTCTGTGCCCTCTAGTAAATAATGGTAGGTGATGTAGGTGTGGGCTATATGAAGGTGGCTCAGCACGTAAATTTCTTCTGGCGTGTAGTGCATATTGGTGATTCTGTGCCCTCTAGTAAATAATGGTAAGTGATGTAGGTGTGGGCTATATGAAGGCGGGTCAGCACTTAAATTTCTCTTGGCATGAGCATATTGGGGATTCTGTGCCCTCTAGTAAATAATGGTAGGTGATGTAGGTGGGCTATATGAAAGCGGGTCAGCACGTAAATTTCTCTTGGCATGTAGTGCATATTACCGAATTCTGTGGCCTCTATATGTTAGGTGATGGCGGTGTGGGCTGTATGAAGGCGGGTCAGCACGTAATTTCTCTTGGCACGTAGTGCATATTGGGGATTCTGTGCCCTCTAGTAAATAATGGTAGGTGATGTAGGTTTGGGGTATATGAAGGCGGGTCAGCACATGTAAATTTCTCTTGGCATGTAGTGCATATTGGGGATTCTGTGCCCTCTAATAAATAATCGTAGGTGATATAGGTGTGGGCTATATGATGGCGGGTCAGCACGTAAATTTCTCTTGGCATGTAGTGCATATTGTGGATTCTGTGCAATCTATGTTACGTGATGTAGGTGTGGGCTATATGAAGGCGGGTCAGCACGTAAATTTCTCTTGGCATGTAGTGCATATTGGGTATTCTGTGCAATCTATGTTACGTGACGTAGGTGTGGGCTATTTGAAGGCGGGTCAGCACGTCAATTTCTCTTGGCATGTAGTGCATATTGGGGATTCTGTGCCCTCTAGTAAATAATGGTAGGTGATGTAGGTGTGGGCTATATGAAGGCGGGTCAGCACGTAAATTTCTCTTGGCATGTAGTGCATATTGGGGATTCTGTGCCCTCTAGTAAATAATGGTAGGTGATGTAGGTGTGGGCTATATGAAGGCGGGTCAGCACGTCAATTTCTCTTGGCATGTAGTGCATATTGTGGATTCCGTTCCCTCTATGTTAGGTGATGTAGGTGTGGGCTATATGAGGGCGGGTCAGCACGTCAATTTCTCTTGGCATGTAGTGCATATTGTGGATTCTGTTCCCTCTATGTTAGGTGATGTAGGTGTGGGCTATATGAAGGCGGGTCAGCACGTCAATTTCTCTTGGCATGTAGTGCATATTGTGGATTCTGTTCCCTCTATGTTAGGTGATGTAGGTGTGGGCTATATGAAGGCGGGTCAGCACGTCAATTTCTCTTGGCATGTAGTGCATATTGTGGATTCTGTGCAATCTATGTTACGTGATGTAGGTGTGGGCTATATGAAGGCGGGTCAGCACGTAAATTTCTCTTGGCATGTAGTGCATATTGTGGATTCTGTTCCCTCTATGTTAGGTGATGTAGGTGTGCGCTATATGAAGGCGGATCAGCACGTCAATTTCTCTTGGCATGTAGTGCATATTGGGGATTCTGTGCCATCTAGTAAATAATGGTAGGTGATGTAGGTGTGCGC